TGTGGGGCCGGGTGGTTTTGCTGTGCCGCCAGGTTTGCGAACCCGCGTTCTCCCACCAAGCGCGTCCCGTGGACCGCCAGCCTGTTAGAGGTGCAGATTCTCAGCTACACCAGTCCTGTTAAATCACCGCTGGGAATGAAGTCCACATTCTTTGTATTAATGAGCTCTTTGGAGGATTCTTAATTCATGCCCACGTCTGGGAACCACGGATCTAGATAATGAGGAAGAAATCGCTGAATCTCCTCTTTCTGGTCCTTGGGAATTTTGAAGCGTGGTCTCAGGTCCCTGGATTTGTCACAGAGATGGGGATGAGTGCAGTGTGATGCTGTAGGGAGGCTTCTTGCTGTCGAGGTTGTTAGCATCTGAGGACATACCAGATTTCCGCTGACCCAGAGGAGAGAAGGGCCCGGGATAGGGCAGGGGTGTAGCCCCACCTCCCTCTGGATTTTCTTCTCGGGTGTCCCCTGAGAAACAGACATCCCCATCTTGTGGACTTCTAGAATATTCCAGCTGGAGGCCATGTCTCCCCTAGAGGGTGAGCAAGCGCAGCCACAAATGGCTTCTTCGGAAACTCCCGGTCAGGAGTGTTTCCTGGGTCATCGTCCACAGCGTTGCATTTTGGCGAAATCTCAGTGACACAGAAGGGATGTGTCATGTTTTAGAGAGACACGTTTTCAGAAAATGGATCGCTTTGGGAAAGTGAGCTTAATGTGAGTGAAGGTAAAAGCCTGATTCCCCTGGAATATTGTCCCTTTTATGTCTCGTGAGGGGGTCAGTCTCCGTGTTAAGCTGCCACAGCGAGTCTCAACCTGTGCTGTCACCATAGAACCTGTTGCTCCTCATGTTATTGGGAGCTTTTTCATCACGAAGCACTTTCAAAGCCGTGACTCCCTGTTGCCCCTCACTCCACAGTGAGGACAGGGTGGTCTTTGCAGCACAGAAGGGGAACCAGGCCCTGTGGGGTTCAAGGTGTCTGTCCAAGTCACAGCTGAGCCCATACTGGAGTGCAAAGGTTCCAGATGCGAAGCCAGGTTTTTCCCACTTGAGACGTTTTGCATCAGGCATTCAGGCATAGGGAATGGGGTGTGTGATCTCTCAGTTGTGGATAATTGAATAATGAGTTTTATATTAGAAAACAGCACTAAGATAATTGAATGCACAGGTTGTGCTCCCTCTGTCACTTGTGAGCCCAAATATTAATCTTTTCCTTTACTCATTTTTAACTGTCTATGTGTATGTATGATCTCCATCTACATACCCTCCTGCCATCTTTTCACTCACCCATCTCTTTCTTTCTCTCTTCCTTTCTCCCTCCTTCTGTCTCTCCTTCCCTATATCTGTCCACCCACTCATCCATCCATCCATCCACTCATCCATCCATCCATCCACTTATCCATCAACCTGTCCATCCATCCGTCCGTCTGTCCATCCATCCATCCATCCATCCATCCATCCATCCATCCATCCATCCATCCATCCATCCGTCCGTCCATCCATCCAACCATCCACCCATCCATCCGTCCGTCCATCCATCCATCCATCCATCCATCCATCCATCCACTTATCCATCAACCTGTCCATCCATCCATCCATCCACTCACCCATCTCTCTGTTCGTCCATCCTTCCACCCATCCACCCATCCATCCATCTATCCACCCATCCATCCCATCCATCCATCCATCCATCCATCCATCCATCCATCCACCCACCCATTCATCCACCCACCCACCTACCCACCCATCCCATCCATCCATCCATCCATTTATCTATTCACCCATACTTCCATCCATCCATCCACCCATCCACCCATGCCCATCCATCCATCCATTCACTCATCCATCCAACCATCTATCATCCATCCACTCACTCATTCACCATCCATCCGTCTCTCCACCCATCCATCCATCCATGCACTCATCTAATCATCTGTTCATCCACTCATTCACCACCCACCCATCCATCCATGCACTCATCTAACCATCTGTCCATCCATCCACTTATCCAAGCATCTACCCACCCCCTCATCCAGCGATCTATTTCCCTATTACTTATCTTATAAAAGCTCAAGGATACTGTACCTTATTGTCCTCCTGGGGCGGCCAGAGTCCCCAGTGCAGGGCAGAGCACTTAGTAGGTGTGTGAATATTTATTTGCTTTGCTCCACATTCTAGGAGAATCGGGACTGTCTTGCTGAGAAAGTCTTGTGGGATTGTGCCAGTCCAAGTTGTGGTGGGGGTGGGAATGCTAACAAGTATTGGCTTCATGGTTCATTTTATAAATTACTTTTTTATTATTGAAAAATAGTAAAGTCATTGCATAGGCTTGTAAAAGTACAGAAAAAAGCCATAATGAAGAGAGCAAAATTTGTCTCTTTGTGAAACTAACTGCTCTGGCTGGCAGTCCCCGAGGGCGTGCCCGGGGGTGGGCACCATCCAGCATAGGACGCATGCATTTGGGCCTCACAGGGGAGGAGACAGGCCCAGAGGGTTTTGGGGACCTGCTCAGGTCATCCAGCCTTCCAGGAGCAGAGCTGGGTTTTGCTGATAGCGGTCCCTTTTCTCCAGGAGGCGCTGCTCACCCACACGTTTGGTTTCCAAGGTCTTTCTCCGGCACTTGGACGCTCCCAGGAACACCCAGGGGCCCGGGGTGCGCACATTCCAGCCTGCAGTGCATGGAGCCCCCACCCCTCTCCTTGCCCCCATGTCTGGACAGATTGGAAGCCAGTAACCAGTGTCTTTGTGCCGTGCTTCCAGGTCCCCCCACTTCTCACCCCTGCAGACCCTCCTGCTGGTGCCTTTCAAAGCTTGGTTGCTCATTCGCTGGAGCCAAAATGTGACCTGGCCATGTCCGGGAGAGAGCATCATTATGTGTTCGAGACTGTCTGAAAAGATGAGAGCAGCTTCTACTCCACTGGGCAGTCCAGTTAGAGAGACTGGGACCATCTTGAGGTTATATTCGTTGAGGTTCCAGTATATTTATTAAAATTGAAGTAATTTCAAAATGTAAACAGGAACGTTTTTGGAGGATTGTGGTGCGGGTGAGTGCAGGCCCCAAGCTCGTTAGAGGCACGGGCACGTGGTTGGTCATCAGTCACACAGTGCAAGCCCCTGACAGCCACGTGTTTGCAGTTGATGGATGAGTATCTTCTTGGGATGGTTCCATCAGCCCCATGTGGGGTCTCATTGGATGTCCCCTTCCTGAAGGGTGTGTAAGCTGGGGGGGCTCACCCAACCTCACCCGGGTGGGTCCCAGTCAGGTTTGAACGTGGCAAGTCTGCAGTGCATCCTTTGGGCAGGACACACTGTTTGAGGAAGGGACCACTTGTCCTGGGTGCTGTCTGAGGGCTGGAGGTCCCCCTCAAGTACATAAGATACCCTACCATTAACAGGTTGCCTAGTTTTCTGCTCAGCGGCTCTTACGTGCCCAACACCATCCCAGGGTTTGGCTCTGCCGAAGGGGTCTGTAATTTGGAGTCCGAGGTATGACTCCAGCTGGGTTCCAGTTGCAATGGTCATGGGTGGACAGCCAAATAAGAAAGAAGAATCCTAATCGTTTGAGGGTTGACGTTGCCCCAGATGGGCATCAGGCCTAAATTGACCTTATACGTGAGGGGCCGGCTTCCTCAAGTTGCTGTAGGAAATTTGACTTTGAAGTGTAGATGTAGATGCCTGTAGTGGCCTTCCACGCCCTTCACCTGCCCCCCAAGGACCTGAGCCCTCGCCGATGTCATCAGAAGCCCCAACAGCTCCCTCTCCCTGCTCTAGCGGGCGGGGGTCTCTCCCCAAGTTTGCATCTGTCTGCCCCATTTCCACGTTTCTGCCCCCACGTGGAGCTCCTGCCCTGCTCTACGCCGTCTCAACCCCTGATACCCCTGCACCTCACTGTGACATCCAGGTGCGGGGTGAGTCCCCCGGCGAGTTTAAAGAGCCCTCAGAACAGTGCTCCTTTACGGGTAAAGAAGCCTGGGGATTAGGGCTAGATGGGGGTGGTGAGCTGAATTCATGATGCAGTTGTCCTTCCTGGGGACAGCCGGGGACGCGACCGGGGTGAGGTCAGAAGGGAATTCAGCCCCCGGTCAGATGCCCCAGTTCTTTTATTCTCAAAATACGCTCGAAGTCAGAACGACTCATCATCAACCAGTAGTGTTTCTGGGTCCTGGGGACATGCATGTTGTCATATCGCCCTTGGCACTTTTCTGGAAGGTAAAAGCCTCTCCGATGAAGCACATCAGGGCAGTGCGCCTTGCTTGGCAGTGGCTCTGATGGGCACTTGGGGTGACCGAGCGGGAGAGAAGGTGGTTTTAACCAAATACTGCCCTCCCCGTCACAGCCAGCAACAGACTGGTCCGGAGTCGGCTGCCCAGGGTAGTGGGGGACCCTTCCTGACATTGTCCGCATGGGGGCGGGCTCCATGGTCCTGTCCCCCGGGCTTCTGCCCCAGCCCTGCTGCCAGTCATTTATCGTGCTGACACCATTCAGGTCTCTGCCTGCCCGGACCCAGACCTCCATGGGGCGCAGACTCCATGCCTCCCCTACCTTTGTGTGCCTGCAGCCTGAGCCGGGCGTCCTCCAAGATGATGCCCATAGACGTCATGACTTTGAGATGCAGAAAGGCGGGCTTCTGCCTTTCGGACCTTTAACTGTAGCCCCAGTGGGTCGCTGCTCCCCACAGTAAGCATCTGGATGGTGCCGCGGGATTCTGTGTCCTGAGGGCGAGGGCAGTGAGGGCAGCTTCTCAGACCCGCTGCCCACAAAGCGATAATGTGGAAACTCTGTCTCTGCCCCCGTTTTGATTTGCTTGGGACCCTGAGCGTCACCACCATTGTCACCATTGAGGCCGTGCTAAGCACGGGGATACTGGGGCTAACGGGTGGGTGCCGCAAATACCCTGGGGTCGGTTCTTCAAGCTCACTCTCAGACTTGGCACTTGGTTCATGAGCCATGTGCCTTGGCCATCTCCCCGGTGCGGGTTCTGAACTGCGTGTGTTTGGGTCCCGCAGAGACCCCACTGACCTTAGCTGCTCAGCTGGACGACCCCGCGGAGGTGATCAAAGCTCTTAGAAACGGTGGGGCTCACCTGGACTTCCGCGCCAGAGATGGGATGACCGCCCTGCACAAAGCTGCCCGAGCCAGGAACCAAGTGGCCCTGAAGGTACATTCCGGAGCCCTTCTCCCCCTGGGGGCACCCCCTCCCTGTCTGATCCCCAGCTTCCATGCCAGTTCCCTGTCCCCATCCCACAACAACCACCTGAGCTGACCCTGAATTGTCTTCCCACGCGGGTTTGGACGTCTAGTCGGAGCCCCCGACCCCTCTCTTCTTGGGAATTTTAAAATTTGGTGTTTATAAAAAGTCATCTGTCCCTCTCGTTTGGCCAGAGGCTTGTGATTTCTGCCAGGAAGGGCAGCACTGAAAGCCACCCCCTCATACCCCGCCGGGAGGAGGCTGGGAACCCAACCTGCAGGCCCTGAGCCAGCCTTGTTGCTGTCACCAGCCCCCTCCCCAGTCTCTGGAAGCCCAACCGGGAGGGTGCTTTCACCCCTCACCCTCCCCACGGCCCTCTGCATGCTTTATCAGCCCTGGCCCCATGTGTGGAGGGCGCCCAAGAGCCCTGGCCGGGAGGGAGGGGGACCCGCTGTTGGGGGCTGACCCCCAAGACGATGCTTGTCTCGGAAGTCATGGATTTCTCAAGTTCACATCAGCTGTACCTCGTCCGCTGGCTTTGTCCAAAATCCAGCGTTCGTGACAGCGCTCCCCAGTTTAGCTGCCCTCAGCACGCAAACTGGGATGGTTTTATGCTGTAGGTTGAATAGTACAGCTTTTCCCTTTCTGCAAAGGCCACCCTCACTTTGTTGCTCTCGGCCGGTACGGGGTTTTGGGTGAGGGGGTCAGCAGGGTGCAGCAGGTCCCTGCGTGCCCCCGGTGCGTGTCTGTCTGCAGAGCGTCTCCTGACAACCTGGATGCATGCGCGTCCTGTTGCCTGGGCTCCACCGGCTACTTCAGGGCCGGGAACCTCACCACCTGAAGCTGGCCCCTGCTTCACTCTGGGAGGCCCAGGAAACGTGCGGATCCACGGGCCTGCTCAGCCTCGGCCTGCGGGACAGTGACCCCCATGCATCGTTCTCGATTCACTCCCTGCAGAAGGGGTCATGAGACCTGTGTTTGGTGTTTTTGTTTTCCAGACCCTTCTGGAGCTGGGAGCATCTCCTGATTACAAAGACAGCTACGGGCTCACGCCGCTGTACCACACCGCGATCGTCGGGGGGGATCCCTACTGCTGTGAACTGTTGCTCCACGAACACGCCGCCGTGTGCTGCAGGGACGAGAACGGTTGGCACGAGGTCCACCAGGTGCGCATGCCACACCCGTAACACACCTGCCCTCCGCCTTTCACCCCGCGGCTCAGAGCCGCCCTCCCAGTGTTCCATTCCGTTTGGAGTAGTCGCCGGCGTTTAAAAACAGGGATATTTACCTAGAAACACACGTTTCTGACCTCTGTAGAGAAATCGGAAAATTAGGCAGGCCTCTTGCATTTCTATAGGGCAGTAATCATCCGGAATTGTGGGGTGAACACGCCCTTTGTAGGCGCTGGGAGCTCTCTGTGCATCTAGCGTCTTGGGGGCCCCGATAGAGCTTGGCGCCAGGTGCTTTCTGCACACAGGTGGCCCGGTGCGCTGCCTGATTTCTGATACGGGTGACCCGGTGTGATGCCTGATTACTGATAGGGGTGACCCGGTGTGCTGCCTGATTTCTGATACGGGTGACCCGGTGTGAGCTGCCTGATTTCTGATACGGGTGACCCGGTGTGATGCCTGATTTCTGATAGGGGTGACCCAGTGTGATGCCTGATTTCTGATACGGGTGACCTGGTGTGATGCCTGATTACTGATATGGGTGGCCCGGCGTGATGTCTGATTTCTGATACGGGTGGCCCGGCGTGCTGCCTGATTTCTGATACGGGTGACCTGGTGTGCTGCCTGATTTCTGATACGGGTGGCCCGGCGTGATGTCTGATTTCTGATACGGGTGACCCAGTGCGCTGCCTGATTTCTGATACAGGTAGCCTGGTGCGCTGCCTGATTTCTGATACGGGTGGCCCGGTGTGATGCCTGATTTCTGATACGGGAGACCCAGTGCACTGCCTGATTTCTGATACGGTTGGCCCGGCGTGATGCCTGATTTCTGATACGGGTGACCTGGCGTGCTGCCTGATTTCTGATATGGGTGGCCCGGCGTGATGTCTGATTTCTGATCCGGGTGGCCCGGCGTGATGTCTGATTTCTGATACGGGTGACCCAGTGCGCTGCCTGATTTCTGATATGGGTAGCCCGGTGCGCTGCCTGATTTCTGATACGGGTGGCCCGGTGTGATGCCTGATTTCTGATACGGGAGACCCATTGCACTGCCTGATTTCTGATACGGTTGGCCCGGTGTGATGCCTGATTTCTGATACGGGTGACCCAGTGTGCTGCCTGATTTCTGATACGGGAGACCCAGTGCACTGCCTGATTTCTGATACGGTTGGCCCGGCGTGATGCCTGATTTCTGATACGGGTGACCCAGTGCGCTGCCTGTTTTCTGATACCAGTGGCCCGGTGTGATGTCCAATTTCCATGCATTGGACCCAGGTTTCCCTGATCCCACCTGGCACCCGTGGGGCTGGGGGTGTGTCAGCTGCAGTCTTGTAAAGAAACAGCATCCACCTGATGGCTCAGATCAAGAGTCGTTAGTGCATCCAGAGCAGGAGAGGAAGTTGTGGTCCCAGAAGCAGGGACAGCTGAGGTGGGAGGGGGGCTGCAGGCAGGAACTGCCCTGGCTTCTCTCTTGTCCTTCCCTCCTGTTGGCTGAGCCGTGTGTGAGCCAGCCAACCAGGGAGCCCAGTGGTGCAGGTGTCCGGGTCAGGGTCTCTGGGCAGAGGAGGATGGACAGTGGGTCTGGGAGAGCAGGGCCCAGGAAGGCCAGGGGAAAGGACTAGAATGGGGGGGAGGTGTCTCTGAACTGTTCTCCGGATGGGCAGTGCCACCTGTCCATTTCCCTTAGCCACTGTGGCCTTACACACTTGCCCAGTCCGGGTGGGGTCATGCCCCCCACCCACTGTGGTCAGAGGGCCGAGCCGTGCTGAGGGGTCCCAGGTGGGCTGTGGGTGCAGGCAGGTCCACCCCGCTTGGCCTTCTGCGTGCTGGGTCAGCCCTGACTCGTCAGCAGCCTGGGGAGGCGTCCAGTTCCGTACCGCGGTGTGAGCTGCGGCCCCGCGAAGCTGCTCCTGGCTGCCCCCAGCCCACATCCAGGGAGAGACCCTCGGGGGAGTGAGTAGCGATGAGTGCCCTGGGGTCTCCATTTGTTCACCCATAAAGTGGGTGTCAGCGGGCTGAGGCGCCCTCGGGCCGTGGGAGGGATCTGATGTGAGTGCAGTGCTGAGCCTCCTCTGTTCATCCTGCCCGTTGTCGCTCTGGCCCCCGTGGCTGCACGTCTGAGTGCTTTTGGGTCATTCCAGAGTCATTTCCTGGCCTGTCCCAATCCCTGTTTTGAAATGTAGTTTTAATACCATGCAGGTACAGTGAGGCCAACCGATCGGGACTGGGCTGCCATTGGAAAGAGGGTGTGTTACTCACAGATCCTGGGAGGAGGGGCTGATGGGGCAGGGGGGCTGCATGGGAAGCAGCGGGCTGGGTCAGGAGGCAGCAGGAGCGGGGAGATGGGACCAAGAGCCTTCACTGTGATTTTTGTAGAGGCTGGGGCAGGCTGAGGCGTGGCTGGTCTGGATAATGTCAGGGGCTCGGACACTGGGGCTGTCCCTGGCTGTCTGGGCTGACCAGGGCAGGTGGGTCGTGGGCCTGAGGGCGAGAGCCCAGTGAGGCGGCGGGGGGGGCGGGTGACGGCTCTGTGTGGGCCTGTTTGTGTCTGAGAGCCGCCCTCTGGGCCAGTCCTGTGTGGTCAGAATTGACTTGCCTGGGGAGGGGCAGACCCCCCAGCATTGGCAAGGCCCCACCTGCCAGGGCGTCAGGGGTAGAGTAGATGGGAACGCGGAGTTGCTAGAGCTTGAACCCTGCGGCCAGGGCCCCAGCTTTGGAGAGTTCTCTGGGCCGGGTTTGCCCTCCACCAGCCGGAGGCCTCCCACCAGTGTCCCTTTCCCCTCTGGTGCGTGTGATAGTCTGGCCCCTGGCCACCCTGAGATGAAGAAGCATCAGTGTGTTGGGGTGGGCGGGGGGGCGTTCCTGGTGGTCACTTCCTGCAGTGTGGGCTCCAGCTGTGATTTCTGGTCCCCGTGTGTGCCGGGTTCCATCCCTGAGACCCTGAGCGCGGGCTCTGAGCCTCTGGGCGCTGAAGCCACCAGACCTCTCCAGCCGTGATATCTGGTCCCCGTGTGTGCCGGGTTCCATCCCTGAGACCCTGAGCGCGGGCCCCAGCCCCTGGTGCTGAGTTTGAGCTTGGAGGGGGGGCTCCCGGGCCTGAGCATCCCGCTTCCCCTGGCGCCCGTCAGGATGGTGTCATGTCCCCCGGTGGTGGGTTTCTTTTCCACAACGTCCTGGGAGGCCACTTCTCTCCCTACTAGAGGTTCTCGATTTTCCGGGTGAAGTCCCTGCCTTTCGAGCCCCGCTGTCTCGTCTGCGGCAGCTGAGACTGGCCGTGAGATGGTGGAGGCAGGCGCAAAGCAGAGATCAGACCGGCCGTCTTCCTCTGAGATTCTCAGCACTCAGTCGGCTCCCACGCCGTCCTGATCTGCTTTATCGGCTCCACCTTTCACACCCTGGAGCAACCCCAGCAGACACCTGCTGGCCTCCATGACTCAGACAAGGTAACCGGCCCGGAGAGGGGGAATAACCTGCCCAAGGCCACAGATGGGTCTACTCCCGGCCCCTCTCTCACCACCGCCTCCAGGCTTGCAAACAGAAGCCACCCCTAACGTGACACACGTTGGTGGCAGGAGGAAACAGAGGAGGCAGGTTTTGCACAGAGCTAGCAGGAGAAGCACCTTGGAGTTGTGGGGTCCGCGGTTCTGCATTTGACGTCTGTCCCTCTGCCTCGCGCCCTGGAGTGGGGACGGCTCCTTCCCAGCCGCCTGGCTCCGCACCCTTGGAGGGATCCTGCGCGCCCACAGCCAGGCCTGCTCACGGGTCCTGCGGTGGTTCTTCTTCCTGCCAAGGCCAAGGCCAGGTGCTGAACTGTCGAGGGAGGCCCTTCCCATCCCGCACCTGCCGCGCAGCGCCTGGGGACGCCCGCCCCCTGCAGGCCGACTGTGGAAGCGCGCGTTTTTGTATGCAGCTTGTCTGCAAACTCGAGTTGTTCTTCAGATTACCCTAACTGCTCAACATGGAAGGAGTGGAAAATTCGAAGAAACAGAAAGAAGAAAGTAAAAAACACCCAAACACATTCCCACAGCCCAAGAACATCAAGGGAAGGGGGAAGATGTCCCCCTGTGCGTCTTGCCTGCACCCTGGTGCGGCCTGGGGACCGCGGGTTTGGCTGCGTCAGGACTCCAGGGTAGGTTATGGGAGGCTGAGGGCTCTGGAGAGGGTGGCTGCCTCCCGTCTGGGGACAGCTGCTCCGTGGAGGAGACGCCCTGGGGTCCCATGCGCCCTCACACAGGCCGTGCTCTGTACTGGCTCTGGGAGAGCTTGATCCCGCCCACCCACCCTCCCTCCCTCTCGGAGTTCCTCTGACTGTGTTTCAGGGAGGGGGGTTCCCTCCTTCTGTTGTCAGTGCAGGGAACTTGGCCTGTGAGTTAGCCACTCCCCCTCCCCCAGCCACACCCCCGTCATGGTCATCCTCACCCAGCCACGCCCCAATCACTGTCTTAGTCCTCATCTGCTTAGTCACGGTCATCATCACCATCATCACCATCACCTGGCCCTTGTCACAAAGAAATAATATGTGACAGAGCTCTTAACCACTTTGCTCACAGGCCTTACTATAGATCTCATCTGATTTCCTCAAGAATTCCTTTTTTTCCCAAAGATTTTATTTATTTGCAAGAGAGAGATCACAAGCAGGGGTGGGGGCAGAGGGAGAAGCAGACTCCCCGCTGAGCAGGGAGCCCGATACGGGGCTCGATCCCAGGATCCTGAGATCATGACCCGAGCCGAAGGCTGACGCTTCACTGACTGAGCCGCCCAGGCGTCCCAGAAATTTAACAATTTATGGCCACGGCTCCCCTCCCTCACAAGGCTCATCCCCACTTCCTCTCAGCTCTCTGCTCCAAGTCCTTGGAATTCTCCCCCAGTCCGCATGGTCTGGGAACAGGCCCCAGGGAGGTTCCTGAGGGTGCTTGTGGCATCCGGGAGCGCCAGGTCTGCCTGGGTGGCTGCCGTCACCGGCTCCCAGCCACACAGCGTGGCTCTGCACGCATGCATCACACATGCTCCCTGAATACGGTTGGCTGAAGGCATTAGCCTTTAGATGGTGTGGACTCTGGTCTTCCTTTAAGTTAGGGTCTCCCTAGTGCGCTGGGATGCCCCCCATGTCCAGGGGAGCCTGGGACTCTCGTGAGCGCAGGCGTGGACGGGGAGCCCCCACAGGGAGTGGCCAGTTCTAACCAGGGCAGGGAAGAGGCTTCATGTGGAGTGGAGCATCCAAGCCTGGCTGCCGTGATGGGCAGATGCTGTCTCAGGTCAGGGATGGTGGTGTCCCCGGCCTCACGGGGTGGGCCATCACATGTGGGTCTGGGGATGGCATGCCCGTGGTGTTTGGGCTCAGCACAGTAGGGCCTATGGCCATCGGCGCAGGGACCACAGAACCTCGGTCGAGCCTATCCCTGGATGCAGAAGGCCACAGTTGTCTGCATCTTTACAGATGAGGACCCCCCGCTACCCCGGGTCTGAGAGTCTGGAGTCCCCCAGCTGCTAGGTGGAGGGATCAGAGCTTGCCGGCATGCCTGCCTAGACCACGCTGTCGCCCCAGCTCCCACCCCCCACTGCGAGCGGCCAAGCCCCACAGCCCCAGCAGTTGGAGCTACAGGAAGTGCCTTACTTTGCTTTGGGGGGTCTGCCACATGCTGACCTGGGGCGTCAGATCCGTATCCCGTGCCCCTACCCCACCCAGACGAGCAAGGATTCCTTCAGAGAAGTAATCAATGCTTCCTTTTGTGGGGGGGCTTGCGGAGGGATTGAAGGTCCCCTTTTCCACATATGGTCACATCCTGGGGTGCTGGGGGTCAGGGCTCCAACAGAGGAATTTGGGAGGACATCGTCCAGCTCCTAACCCCGGCCAACACAGAACTGGCCGCTTCCTGGTTGACCTGCCATCCACACACTCATTCGCACTCCCCTTCGGGCTGGCAGCAAGACCACCACTGGCCTGTGAAAACCGTGGAACCCAGGGCCGTGGGGCAGCCAGTGGCTCGAGTCAGGCAAGCCACGTGTGCGTGTGTTTGTGTAAGAGTGTCCCTGTACTGCTGGGCACCTTACTTCCTGACCAAGAGAGGGCTGACATGATGTATTGTTTTCGAACCATTTGATGGAGATGTCTCCCGTTCACATTCTAAGCGCATGCTTTACATAAGAGAAATGCCTAAGCGTGGTGTGGATTTAAGTAATTTTGTTGGTGGCACAGAATCATGCAGAAGCATCTGCTGCCCCCTTAGGGTAGTAAATTTGTCACAGCAGGTGTCCAGCAGGTGGCAGTAAAGCGCTGGAAGGAAGACGCGCCCTTTTCCCTAATTTCCACCAAATTGTGTGGTTGGCTAGTGATGGGGCGGGTGTTTGGCATAGCTGGGATGAACCCCAGGTCTCCTGGGGAAACTTCTCCAAACACGCAAGCCCGGGAGATTTGCAGGGAGTAGGTGTGGAGTGGAGGCCCCCACACGTGCATTTCCCAAAAAGCACCTCATCCAGATGGTTAAGATACAGGAGTGTAAGGGGTGCTGTATGTCAGGTTTCAGCTCTCTGGCCTCTGGCAGCCCTTCTAAGCTGTCTCTCGAAGGCCAGGAGCCACAACGCCCATTTCAAGGGGGAAATGGTTAGCATAGCGTATTTTGGGGCTGGATAGATTTCTTACTTTGGTGAGCTTTGAGGTCTTTGTGTCAAACAAGGACTAGGTTCTCTTTCTAAATTGTGAAGGACTCTATCAGTTTCAAACTCACAGAGGAGTTGCTAGAATGCTAGAGAACCCCACATACCTTCACTCACAGACCATGTTTGAGTTTTGTCCGTCATCACAGTAACGTCCCTCATACTGAAAGGATCCCACCCCGGACCCTGCTTGGAAGCCTTCCGTCGGGAACCCCTGCGAGGATCATGGGGCACTCAGCTTGGGGACTGCCTCGCAACTTGGGTTGGGTCGGTGTTTCTTCTCGATGAGGTCCAGGGTGTGCATTTTGGTAGGAACATTGTAGGAGTGTTCGTGTAGGGATATTGCATTCCTGGCATCCTGTCGGGGGGCACGTGGTGACCCTCGCCCGTGACCGGTGACGTTCACTCTGACCTCTGGCCAGGTGGAGTCTGCCAGGCTTCTCTCTTTCCTCCTGTAATTAGGATTTTGTGGGCTCTCTGAAGCTGTTAAGTCCCTTTCCTCAACCCCCATCCACAGATGGCCTTGGCATCCATTGGTATTTCTCGCCAGCATTAATGATCACTGTCATGGCCACTAAATGGGGGTTTTCTACTCCCATCCTCTGGGGAGAGCCAGTGAGCCCAGGCTCCCTTGATTTAAGGAACAGTGCTGTCAACTCAAACTGGTATAACGGGAAATAGGAGTTCTGGCCAGGCTCTCTATGTCCCGAGGAGTCCAGGCATGGCCGGAGCTCGGAGGGCCCTGTCACGGGCTATGTGTGCATCTGCCCTTGACTCCACATCTGCCCGCCCTCCCTTCCTTTCTTGCCCCTGTGGCCCTGCTCCTTTGCTGGGGGCCCCAGCAGCTCTGGGGTTCTGCGGGCTGCGGAGGCCCCTGGGCTGTGCCCACAGCAGCAGTGGGCGGGGCAGCCCCCCGACCTCTGAGAGTGGGGCTGGGGGCCCCACAAGAAGTGCAGGCACTGTTGCCACGGGAGGGGAGGGCGGGCAGCAACCACGTCTGGGTAGCCACCCGCTTCGTGAACTAGTGAGCCTGCTCCACGGGGGACGTGGCGTTAGAAGTGCATGTTTCTCGGGTTCTCTGTGTAAGCTCGTCCCAGTAATAGTTTGAGCATCTTTCCCACCGTCTTTCCTTGGCGAGGTGCCACAGTCCGCCCCAGGTGTCTGGAATGCGTGGTAGGGAGAGCTGCCCGGCCTGCCCCCTGGTGGCCTGTTTCCTTCCTGCCGTGGGCTTCAGTGGCCACCCTCGGCCTGAGAAGTGTGGGTCACGACCCGCTTCCTGGCCTTCCCGGCTCCCATCCACATTGTCACCGCTCACGGGGACCCTGGCCCTCCCACCTCCAGTGCTGTCCTTCGCTGGCCACACGCTGGCCTTTCCCGAGGTGCTGGGAAGTAGGTGGATGGGGTGGGGGCTGGTTGGAACTGACTGCCCGCCCAGGGTCGTGGGCTGCCCTGGTACCATGCAGCGTGCCCTGGACCCCGGCTGAGCTGTCACAGTACGGGGCCTCCTGGCTCCCCGAGAGCTGCCACGGGCAGGGGCTACCCTGATGCCGAGCAACACGTGGGCCCTTTGGGGTCCCTTATCCTACATGATTCTCATAAGAATGTACGGTTTATGTCTACAGGTGAAGACATAGGCTCTTGGGGGAACATTCTGGCAAATGGAAGGTCCATGACTTAGGTGCAGATCTCTTTGCCCCCAGAGCTTTGTTGGTTCAGGAATAGCACACATCACTGCCTTGAAGGACCCCGGGAGGGAGAAATCTCACTGTGGGGCTGCCTGCCCCCTGCCTCCTGAACGCTCCTCAGGGGCGGGTTACATTTCATAGCAACAATCCCTCGCCTGGTTCAGGCTCGGCTCCCTTCCCTGGACACAGCAGGGGCTGTACGTTCCCCTTCTTGCTGTTTTCACGCCCCCTCTCGGGGGCCAGGGAGTTTGGATAAGTGTGGCCAGAGATGGAGTGTCCTGGTTTGCATTTTGTGGGGTTGGTCACTGAGGCCAGCAGGAAGACAGCACGTGTGTCCCTGGGCGTCGGGTCCCCAGGTCCAAAGGAAAGGAGCATTGGGGCCCTTCTCAGACTTGCTGTCCAGGAGCCCAGCATAAGTCCTGGGTCCTGTGATGAGCTCCCCTACCCTGATCCCAGCCAGGGGTCTGATGGCCCCCCTGAGGCTCAGGACGCTGTGGGTGGCCCTGCATTTGGGGTCCTGGTCCCACATGGGGGCTGGGCTGGGTTGGCCGAACACATGGCGAACTTGGAGACTGGTGTGTGGGTTTCCCATTGACAGCGTGGACTCTCGTTGCAGGCCTGCAAGTACGGCCACGTGCAGCATCTGGAGCACCTGCTCTTCTACGGGGCCGACATGGCGGCCCAGAACGCCTCGGGGAACACGGCCCTACACATCTGCGCCCTCTACAACCAGGTCAGTGTGGGCACGCTGGTGGGTGCGCACCCCCAACACCCTGTCCGGCTGTGTGGGTGCCGGGGCTGGGACCGGGCTGAGTGCCCTGCAGGGTGTGCAGGGTGCTGTCTGGCTCAGCACAGGTGCCCTAACAGAGCCCCACAGATGGTCCTGGAGGCTGGAGGTCCAAGATCAGGGTGCGGGCACGTTCCCTTCCCAGTGAGAGCTCTCTGCTGGCTGCAGATGGTGCCTTCTGTGTCCTCACGGGGGGCGAGCAAGAGCACTCTGCGGTCTCTTCTGACAAGGGCGCTGTCCCATCAGGTCAGGACCTCCCTGGACCCTCAACCCCTCCTCAAGGTCCATTTCCAAAATCGCTCGCCTTGGGGGTTCGGGCTTCAGGGAGGAAGCTGGGGGGACACCTCCAGCCCTTGGCAGCTGCTGCTTTGAGAATGGGTTACCCCGTCATAGCAAAGAGGAAGCTGAGTTGTGGGGAAGAGAAAGGAGCAGTCCCAGAGCCGGAGCTGGGCTGCTCCCCTCCCAGGCCGCACCGCCACACTGTCCACTTCCAGAAGCGAGCTGGGGAGCCGGGATCCTCTAGTTTCCATCCTCCCCAGCTGCAGGTACAAACTCTGCCCGCCCCGGGGTGGCCATCTGCTGGGACGTGCAGGGCAGAGGGGCAGGGACGTGGCTGACCAGGCTCCCGAGATCGGTCTGGCACCCCACCAAACTTGCACCAGACCAGCATGTAGCAAAGGCGAATTACCACCACTGCGGGTGCAAACACGCTCCCAACGGGCTTTTTCTCTTTAGCTGTGGTAACATATACGTGACAGAATCATTTAGATTTTAACCACCTTTACAGTGTAGTTCGTGTCATTAAGCACGTTCACATCGCTGTGCAACCAGCAGTGCTATCCTTCTAGGACTTTCCATCTTCCCAACGGAAACTCTGCCCTGAGAAGCACCCCGTCCCCCTCGCGGCCCCTGGTGCCCACCGTCTACCTCTGTCTCCATGAATCTGACTCCTCTGGGGACTGCATCTGAGTGGGTTCCTAAAGCATTTGTCCTTATATGCCTGGTTTATTTCACTGAGCATAATGTCCTCAGGGTCCATCCATGCGTCGCAGGTGTCGAATGTCCTTTCTTATGGCTCAATAATATTTCATTATGTGGATGGACCACATTTTGTTTATCCATTCATCCCTTGATGGACATATGGGTGCTTTCGCCTCTTGGTTGTTGTGAATAATACTGCCATGAACGTGGGTATACGAGTATCTCTTCAAGACCCTGCTTTCCTTTTTGGGAGGGGGACTGTACCTACAAGTGGAACCCCAGCGTGAACAAAAAGAAGCATGTACTCTTCGGTGTTAGACCAGAAACCAAGGGAAGCTGGAGGTGAGCTAGTTTGGTGTGCCCTGAGGGGTAGGACATGATCCCTGGCCTCCAGGAGCATGAATCCCAAATGGCGAGGGAGCAGTACCCTGGACCGTGTGAGCACACTGCTGGTCCCGCCGAGAGGCACAGCGGTGGGGCTGAAGACGGTGGAGAGGCTCGTGGAGGCCGTGGGTTGCAGGACCTGCTTGGGGCAGGGCGGGGCGGGGGGAAGGAGGGTCAGTGTCCTTGAGGCTCAAGGTCAAGATAACTCCGGGATGCCAGTATCGAAGGTGTTCTCTGCTCTGACTTTCTTTTCTTCTTGTATCTCTGATTTCAAGGAACTTTGAGTCTGGAGGGTGGTGGGGTCTGAACACTATACTAAACAGCTGAGCAGAATGTGGGGGGCTCTACCAACTGGAGGAACAGAGGGGAGATCTTTGGGGGGGCCCCCAAGCTGTGTGCACTTTACTTGTCTTCTCTGCCATTGACATCATCTTCCTAGAACGAAGCCATCTTTTCGGGTGAAATATTCAGCCTTTGTCTACACCTAAGTCCTTTCCCTGGCCCTTCCAAGACCAGACCCCTCCAACCACTTTACTTCCAGCTATGAAACCCTCCTAGATTCTTTGCTGTAGAAAACTCCTATGCATCCTTCAAGACCCAACTCAGATATCCTACCCTTAGTCAAGCCTTCTCCTAATGAGCCCCTGAGAGCATTAGCTGTAGTTTGCTCAGCAGCCCTTTGCAAGATAACCAGGGTGAACTGCCATTATTATGCCTTGCCTATTTTCCCTGCTAGCACCCTGTCCCCCTTGGACCCAGCTTCTCAGAGGTATAGATTGCCATTTTTTAGGGTCTCTTCCGTGGCTGGCACGGCAGAGCAGCTCAGCCAGAGGGGGTTGGGGGAGTGTTTCAGCAGAGCTGCGGGCTTCCTCCTTAATGTGAGCATATTGGTGGGATTTGTGTGCAGCGACAGTGTTTTTGGACGTCGGGGTGGCTTTGTGAGCATGGAGATACCTAGCTGGGCCGCATTCAGAAAAACGCACATCGTGAGACTTGGCTTTGGCTGGTAAAGCATCTGTGCCGATATGTGCTTCTTAATTGTTGCCTTAGAGGGGGAAAGCGTTCCTTAATTTTCCCTAGTAGATTTCAAGCATAATTTATCATGAATGAAAAAAGAAAAACAGGAAGAAATGTTTTCTGTCACTTGAAATAATTGTGGACAAGACGGTCTTTGAGAGCGTCGGTGGTATTTTGTTAGGGAAGGTTCAAACAGTCTGGTAGTCTGCATTCTGACTTGTTGACGGGGCGTGGTGTGACTGGCATGGCGCTGCCTGTCCCCCATCTGTCCCCAGCCCTCAGCCGATGGCTTCGGGAAGACCCTCCCCCATGTGCCTGAGGAGTATTTTTTTCTCTTAGGTATTTTCTTTTAGGAGCAAACATTTCCTGTAAAGGGCCACTTAGTAGATATTTTTGGCTTTGTGGGCCACATGGGCTTGGTCACGGCCATCCCACTCTGCTGCTGCAGCATGAACTCAGCCACGGACAACACTGAGGTGAGTGAGTGTGGCTGTGTGCCGATCAAACTTTATTTGTAAAACAGGCAGCAAGCTGAGTTAGGCTGGGCGCCATACTTTGCCCAGCCTGGGTGGGGAAGACTGCATCTCCACCCTCCCCAGACACACGTGTAGACAGACTCCCTGCTCCAAGGCTGAGCGACTTGCTCCCAGTGTGTCAGTAAGCCCGAGTAGGCGTGTGAGAGCTGTCCCCTCTCTCCAGGGTCCCAAGATCAGCCTGCTGCTGCTCTAGGCTGTGTGTCCCTCCTCTGCAGCATGGTCAACAACCCAGCAAGGTCATGGTCTAGGCCACAATGCACCACACATTGTCCCTAACCAGAGCCCTGTCCTCCCATGTCACCAATGTGTTGCGCTCCTCCTTTCTACACATGTGGGCATCACGTGGCGGCATCAGGCCGGGCTCAGTGCCAACTAGAGGAGCCGCTTTGCAACTTTCAGCAGAAAGGGTGTCAGAGGGCGAACATACAGAGCACTCGAGGAAATCATGTTGAGAAGTAGACTGCTCCAGGGGTGGGGACACAGTGTGGTAAAGTCAGAATAGGATTTAGGGAAAGGAACTGGAAGCAGCCACCGTGAGGTGGAGTTGCAGTGCAAGGAGGCATGGCAGTCTGGGCTCCACGTGGCCTAGACCATGACCTTGCTCTGTTGTCTGGGGCAAACTCCTGTCTCTCTTGGGGAATGAATTCTCCCATCAGTAAAGTAAAGATAATTCTACCTAACTGCCAGGGTTGCTAAGAGGCTTAAAATAGAAAACAAACATATGGTATGTCTGCCACACAGTGGATGCTTGGTAAATGGTAGCTGTAATGGTGATGATGGCAGTGATGATGGTGGTGTTGGTGGTGGTCATGGTGATGATGCTGCTGCTGATGGTGATGATGATGATGGTGATGATCATGGTGGTGATGGTGATGATTATAGTGATGATGGTGGTGATGATGGTGATGGTGATGATGGTGATGCTGCTGCTGCTGCTGCTGCTGATGGTGATGATCATGGTGATGGTGGTGATGGTGATGATGCTGCTGCTGATGGTGATGATGATGATGGTGATGATCATGGTGGTGATGGTGATGATTGTAGTGATGATGGTGGTGATGATGGTGATGGTGATGATGGTGATGCTGCTGCTGATGATGATGGTGATGATCATGGTGGTGATGGTGATGATGATTGTAGTGATGATGGTGGTGGTGATGATGGTGATGGTGGTGATGGTGATGGTGCTGATGTTGGTGATGATGTTGGTGATGATGGTGATGGTGGTGGTGGTGGTGGTGATGGTGATGATGGAGATGGTGGTGATGATGGTGATGATAATGGTGATGGTGGTGATGGTGGTGGTGGTGATGATGGTGATGATGATGGAGATGGTGGTGGTGATGATGGTGATGGCGGTGATGGTAGTGATGATGGTGGTGATGGTGATGATGGTGATAGTGCTGATGCTCGTGATGATGATGATGGTGATGGCGATGGTGGTGGTGATGGTAATGATGATGGTGGTGAAGGTCCTGCTGCTGCCAATTTGCCTTGCCAAGCCTCTCCTTGTTAAATCTAAACGCATCCAGGTTTATGGATTTGATGTGTGTGTTTTATCAAGTTTAGGCAGGCCACATCTGCACACTTCTAATAAAATACACTGATCATAATATTCCTTTCTCTTATGAAATCAACTAATTAGGGCTTTGATTGTAAGCAGCAAATTGTGTCTAATCTGTCAGGCCCCTCAGCTCCTTGCTGGCTTTTTCTGGAGACCCAGAGGGAGGGAAGAAGCCTGGAGTTTGTTTTTCTGGCTCGGATAATGAAGGAATGGAGGAAGTCTTAAATATCAAAGGTTACTAGGCCAGGCCAGTTTGTGGGGAGGATGAGAAATAAGCCCTGCCTCTCACTCCAGGGAGACCCAAGCTAAGAAGAGACAGGCTGCGTCTCTGTGGCCCTTCTGGTGTCAGCAGAGCACCGGTCAGCACGGTGGCTGCCTCCCCGGGGCCCTCATGGGGGTCGTCATCCTCAGGGGCACTGGGGGTGTGTATGTCGTGGAAGGAGGGTGTCCACATGGTCTTTCCCTTTAGATCTCCAGGGAGCCTTCAGTGGCTGCCATTGGTTGACATTCTCTCCTACAGGTCAGGAGATGGGTGCTTGGTCCACAGCAGCTCGGCTAGTAAGCGGCAAAGCTGGGCTTCCAACCCGCCCTGTATTTCTTTGCCCCGACGCTGCGGGGACACATTCCCGTGGCCCGTGGCTGGGGTGGGGACGGGGCTCCCCTGGGCCCAGGTCAGGCACAGGCGCCGTGGTCCACGGCATGGTCAGGTGTGGTCTTTAGGGTGCTGCTCTTCCAAGGGGCTGGGTTCCAGCCGCTCTGGTGACACCCGTCTTCCCGCCCCCACCCGCCTGTTCACCGATGCTGACACTTCACCTGTTCTCAGAGTTTGCCCACACAGGCACGTGTCGGAGGGTAGTTCAAACTGGAAGCGAGTTCCCGACTTACAATTTGGAGGATTTAGTAAATCCCTTGGGGACATCAGCTCCATGCCATGGAGATGAAAGCACCGGGTGGGACATGGAAATCCAGAATTTCAACCCTGGCTCTGTCCTTGACAGGGCCGTTCTGGGCAAACCCATAACCTGCATCTGGTCGCGCCCTCTCTCGTGTCCTCCATCTGCCCGTTTGCTTGTCTCCAGACCCCACTGACCTTCCCTGGCAGTTTCTGGGAGCTTTCCCCACCTGCCACCGCGTTAGGCTTCCATCCCTCCCGCTGGGGGCAGCCGGCCACCCCCACGTGCCGCCCCCTGGCCCACATTCTCTCCCGCGGTGACCTTAGGCAGGCCCATCTGTGGCCTTTGATACCTTCTAGAAAATACCTCTGCCCTGAGCTCTGGCAGTGGGGCCCCTGCCCGGCCCAGAGGCCTTGTGGAAACTGCATAGGTGGCTCCTCCCCACTGTGTGAGCAGGCCCCCTTCCCTCCGCGGCTTCCGGAGTCCGGGCTGCCGTCCTGCTCCTCGCAGCCCCTTCCGTCCCAGGCATCCCGGCTCCCCGCTGCCCCTCCCACCCTTGCCCCGGCCTCTGGCATCTCCCAGACGGCCACCCTCGCCCCCGACTGGCCGTCCCTCCAGGCTTGCTTCTCTCGGATGCTCCTCCTGCAGAGCCTGGAGTGATGTGCACGCTGTGGAGGAGCTGGTGTCTGGAGGTGGGAGTGCCCCTCCACTGCTCCGGAGGCCCCTGCCCCCTCGCTCCAACATCCTGCAGCCCGCACCGGGGCCTTTGCACTGCTGGGAACACTTCCCCTAATTGTCACCCAGCAATTCTCTCGCCTCGGGCTGGCTTAGGGACCCACTCCTGGGGGACAGGGGGCTTCCCTGACCACCTGCCCTCACTCTCTCCATCACATGTTTGCTCGGCGCTCTGTGTCCCCGGGGGCCGGACTGACTCTGTATCGACTGGTTGTGTGCATGAACGAATGTGCTTTCTGGGTCTGTTCCTTCACGTATACAACGAACATGGTGGCGCCTGGGCTCCTGCGGGAGGTGGTGACCCTGAGGGATGGCCCGCCTGGCTGGGGGTGGGGCAAGCCTAGCGATCCTCGCTGCCAAGGGGAGGCTGGGGTAGTTCTCTTACGTGTCTCTGAAAATGTTGCCGAGAAGATAATTGGCAGGGGAAATGATATTCTTCTTGATGCTTTGGCTTTCAAAACAAAAAAATGCAGACTGCTTCTCTGTCTATACTCGACTGACTTTTTTAAGCAGATGGAGACGCACCTTGGTGCATCACAGAAGAGGGACCTCCGGGAGGACCTCGGCAGCCGGCAGCCGTGTGGGGAGACAGCCAGCTTCCCCGTGGCCACTCCTCTGGGTCACAGTGTTCTCTCCTGCTCCCTTTCTGAAGCCGCGGTCTTTCACTTAACCTTTCTGGGCCTCCGGTGCCTTGTCTACAAAATGGGCTTCCTGTCAGCCCCTAGCAGGGATGCTGGATGGCAGAGCACACATGTATGCACTCACATGCACCTGTGTGCACACATGCACTCATGCCTGTATACATGTGCAGACACCCATGTAGATGTACATGCACACACGCCTGCACACACGTGCCTACACACATACTGGCACGCACACCCCCGCCTCCACACACGTGCACACACACGCCTGCCCCTACACACATGCACATGTGTGCGCCCACACATGCCCACCTCCACATTGTGTGCACACGCCCACAGACACGTGTGCACACTCCTGCACACACACGCACACGTGTGTGCCTACACATGCCCACCTTTACATTGTGTGCACACACCCATAGACATGTGTGCACACACATGCACACACATGCACACGTGTGCGCCCACGCACACCCACCCCACATATGTGAATACACACAGGCCCGCACACACCCATGCCTGCATATACAAGTGTGCACATACATGCCTACACACGTGTGCCCACACATGCCCACCTCCACGTGTGCACACTCACAGACACGTGTACACACACCTGCATACACACAAGCCCACACACGCCTGCCCCGTACGTGCATACTCAACAGAGCTGCATGCACACACACATGCACACACACACGCCTGCCCCCATACGTGCATACTCAGAGCAGCACACACACATGCATACACAATGCAGACACACATGCACACACACACGCCTGCCCCCATACGTGCATACTCAGAGCAGCACACACACATGCATACACAATGCAGACACACATGCACACACACACATGCTAACACACATGCATACACACAAGCCCGCACATGCCTGTCCCCATACGTGCATACTCACAGAGCTATGCACACACACATGCCCCCATATGAGCATACTCACAGAGCTGCGCACACACATGCACACACGTGCACACATATGCGCGCACACTTGGACACATGCATACACACATGCATACAGATGCACACATGCGCACACACGTGCACACACACGCCCACACACACCTGCCCTCTACATGCATACTCAGAGCTGTGCACACATGTGCATACACACATTCCTACACACAGGTTCCCACACACACTTCTGCACACACGTGTACACACATTTGCATACACATTTGCACACACAAGGTATGAGTGTTACCAAGCTGAGCAAACCGTTTGCCCTGTAATTTTGAGATAGCTCTGGAATGTGATTTCACGTGGACTCTGATTAAAAGGAAAATGATGGACCATGTCTCGGGCTTGGTTAATATTGACTCACAATCTTCCCTTGGTGGGAGGGGGCCCCTGGCTGGGTCCCACCTGGGAGGGCATGAATGGCGGCACCTGGCGAGGATTTATTCTTGTGTTTATGGTGGTACTCTTCAGCGAGCATCCTCGTTGGGCTGTACGGAGCATTTGTAAGAGATTGCAGAAGCGGGGGTCTTGCAGGGCTCTGGAGTCCTGGTTCCAACTGGCCAGGTCACTCCCTCTTGGAACTGGCAGCTGCTGGTACTTACAGTCTGCTCATTCACCCCCTTGAGGCTTTTCAAACATAAATGGAGTTACGCTGTGTTATTGTTATGAGACTCTCTACTTGGAAAATCTGTGTTTTCTACTTGGAAGTTCTTGGTGTATTTCTTTACAGGTTTGTGGATCTACCTGGTTTTTTCCTACAACTTTCTAGGTGAAGAATGTTCTAGAATACATTCCCACTGTCCCTTATTTTAGAACGTTTATGCTGCCTCCGGGTTTTCTCTTTCTTGTTGTGTTTTCCATCCGGTATTTTTCTTGTTATATATTTTATACACACACACAAGACGTTCTATAGATCAGTCTTAAAGAATCGAATTGTTTGGCCACGGGATGCACGGATTAGATACTTGTATAGATTCTGCCAAGTCATCCAAAGTGTTTGCAGAAGTTAACCCTCACCTGATCGGGTGCGGGGCCGCTCGCCCTCCTCCTCACCACCCCAGTGAGCAGAGGGGCCCCCTGGGGACCTTACCCGGGCACGTCCCCAATTCCCTTGGGAGCCGAGCCTCTGAGCCAGTTCCTTTGGAGCCTGTCTGTGCTGCCGACCCGCAACCAGCTTTCTCTCTTTCCGTCTGCAGGATAGCTGTGCCAGAGTGCTGCTCTTCCGGGGCGGGAACAAGGAACAGAAGAACCACAACAGCCAGACTCCGTTCCAGGTGGGGGGCTCTCAGAGCCAGCATCCCCTGCGTGTGTGCGGTCGCGGGAGGCCACACGGGGTTCCGCACGGACCCGTGTGTTGGACGCGAGGCGGGCCCGTCTCGCTGGGGATGTCGCCTGCTTTTGGAGGCTGCGTGCTCCTGGCGCCATCCCTTCTTTGTGCCGGAGCTGCTGACACATTTCAGTCAGCTGTTCCCTGCAACGACTCGTCTTTGTGGGGTGTTGGAGAAGGCAGCTGTGGAGAAGCCTTCATGACTCTGTCTCGGGGTGGCGGCCTGTCATCTCTGGCACCCCCACAGGGCCTGTGGTCCCTGAGTGGAGGGGAGCAACCCTAGCCCAGTGTCGGTTGGCAAGGTGCTCCACGGGGGGGGCGGGGTGCAAAGCTGCCGTCCTAATTATGTTTAAATTGTGGTAGAATGCGTATCACACAACGTTGACCATTTCGACCACTTCCAAGGGTGCGTTTTGGTGGCCGTAAGAACATTCCTGATGTTGTGCAAGCTTCACTACTATGTGAATTGCATCACCCCCAAACAAAACCCCGCACCCCCACACATCAGCCATTGCTTCCCACTCTCCCCCACCCCCGGGGCCCCTGCAACCACCGATCCACGTTCTGTCTGTGGCTTTGCCTGTTTTGGACATTTCATAGAAAAGGAATCGCACCACAGGTGACCTTCGGTGTGCAGCTGCTTTCTCTCAGCAGACCAGTTTCAAGGGTTGTCCGTGTGGTGGCACGTGCCAGGGCTCCGTCCCTCTTCATGACCGAGTAAAATCCCATCACGTGGACACGGGGCTCATCTGATTTCGATGCAGCTGACGGGGTGGAAACGAATTTTTTTTTTGGCTAATGCTTTAAGTTATGGCAAACACTGTCCGCTATCTCCACTTGACTGAAAATCTAAGTGACTGTCATTTTTATTTGGAATTAATTTTTGCATCTTTTTGAGCCAAGAGAGGTCTTTAATTTAGAACTGACACACATGGATGGTTTTCCTAATACTCTTCTGAGGCATTACTAATAAGTATAGGTTTGATGTCTTGAAAATGAACCAGTTTAATCGAAACACTGGGCAGAACATCTAATAAGCGCCATTAAAAGTTCACTTAGTTCACTCTTGCGGTGGGCCTGGATTGTGGTTTCGAATCTCATGGCTTTCAGGTGGTTAGAGCAAAATGGGAGTATTTCGCAGAGGTGACTTTCTGGTTTGTTCATTGGTCTAGAAAGACTGCGGTTACTCTCCGGGAAAATGTCTTCTTGCCAGTGGTGATTAGAGGGAGCCGTGGCACCTTCCACTTCTTTGTGGCCATGTCTGCCCCTTTGGGCTTTGCTGTGGCTTGGTGGTAGTCTTCGTTTAAAGATTTCCTTTGCCACTAGATTATGGATGTCATTGGTCCTCTTTTTTTTTTTTTAAGTCAAAACATTGTTTAAATTGCTTAAAAGGACAGCTGATGCCCTTTGATCCTTGGATAATACAAAAGAGCCCTTTCTGACTCTCTGGTGCAGTGCCTTGTGACCGCCACTGGGCGCTCCAGGGACGCAGCCTTGCAGGGCGTCTGGGACAGACGGCATATAGGTGGCCTCCCTGTTGGTCCCTACTGCTAAACCATCCCCCCAGGCAGAGATCCCCTGGCACGGGGCACTCCTATGGGAGTCCTGGCCGGATGCTTTGTACACACTTGCAGCAGAGGTCCTGCACCCACTCCAATGCAAGGCTCTCTGTCATAAGTGCCCAAATGGTTCTGGAAGACAGTTATGCAAAATGCAGTTGAATGATAGGACTTTGTGCCCTGTGAAGGTTGCTCATGGAACAGGTGGGATCAGAGCCTGGGGTGCCTGGTCTGCATGCCCGGACGGGCTCCACTGATTTGGGAGCTGGTTCCGTCCCTCGCGTCTCCCGCCGCCTCGTGCTGCAATGATATGGAGATGTGATCCAGCCGCGGAGCCCGCCTGCGAAGTGCCCAGCTCTCATTCTCGTTCACAGCATCCGCCTCCCAGTTATGGAAGAAGAGTCCCTTCCTGTTGAGCGTGTGGGGGAATGATGGCTTGCTGTGTTGCTTAAGGGGATCAGAAGTGCTCCATGCAAAACGCTCATGATCCTCAGCTGCTGTTCTAAGAAATCTTGGACCGTTTCACGAGTTCATCTGGCCAAACGTTTGCTTAATGATTTCATCCAAATGCTGAAGCAGCAGCATCAGCAACGCTTCGGGACTTGAAAGAAAATGCAAATACGCAGCCCCCAGCCTCCCAGTCCCACTGAGTCAGAAGCTCAAGGCAGGGCTTTGTGCTCTGGGTTCTGAGAAGCCTTCTAGAAACCCTGGTGTCTGCAGGGGCTTGAGAATCCCAAGAGAGATGATTTTTGAGGAGGAGGAGAAGCTCTTACATTGTTACTTGGGTGTGTACTAGGCAGTGATGCTGATGGCGGGGATTGCCTTGGTCAGCTCACCGGGCCACAGCAGAACACCACAGGCTGTGCGGAGTAAACAGCAGACGTTTATTTCTCGAAGTTTTGGAGGCTAGAAGTGTAAGGTCAGGGTGCCAACAAATGTAGTTTCTGGTGAGGCCTCTCTTCGTGGCTAATAGATGGCGAACTACTCACTGGCCTTTCCTCTGTGCACATGTGGAGGGGGGGTTCTTCTGTCCTGTCCTGTCCTTACAGAAACAATTCCATGTGTTGGCGCCCCACCAGTATGACCACATGTAACTGTAATCACCCCCCTAAAAGCCCTATCTCCAAATACCAACATATTGGGGGTTACGATTTCACCATTTGAATTTGGGGGGGGACAAAATTCAACCTATAAAGTGATGATGGTGATGGTGGTGATAGTGAAGAAAATGAAGATGATGATGGTGATGGTGGTGGTGGTGATAACGAATCTTTCCTGGTGCACAGAATTTTAAAGCTCACGAATGTTCTTCTGAATGTTCTCATTTGATGTTAGACAACCCAATGAGGTAGGCATTTTTATTCCTAATTTATAGGCAAAATGGAATTCTAGAGAGATAGGTGCATGGGAGTGCAAAATAAGTTAGTGGCCGAGTCTGTGGTCTCCACACCTCCTGACCTCCCGTCCAGCGCTCTGGGGTCTGGAGTGAAGGAGACACTTCCCTCTGACAGGTAGCATATCTTGCATCCTGCCATGGAGTGAATGACATCAGGGGTCCTTTGTGCTTTGGATTGCTCAGTCAAGGGAACAAAGAAAAAAACCAGATGTATCTTGATTGTGAAATCAGAAAGGAAAGAAGTCTGAAGACATAGAAACTCTGTGTAAAGCTGGAGTGCAGGCAGCCAGGGAGAGAACAGCCATGGTGCCTGGTTTGCTGGGCGAGCTTGGCAAGGGGCACCCAGCCATGTAATCGGACCCTAGTGTGGATGTGGCTGTGAAGGTGTTTTGAAGATGTGGCTAACATCTAGAGCCAGTGGACTTAGAGTAAAGGAGATTAACCCTCCTTAGTAACGTGGATGGCCCTCCTCTAATCAGTGGAAAGCCTTAAAAAAAAAAAACAAAACAGGTTTCCCAGGGAAGACAAAATTCGGGCTCAAGACCGTAATGTAGTAAGCCTGCCAGAGTTCCCAGCTTGCCGGCCTGTCCTACAGATTGTGGACTTGCCAGCCCCCACAGTCGCACAGGCTAGTTCCTTAAAATAATCTCTTAATACACACACACACACACACACACACACACACATATCGTGGACTTGCCAGCCCCCACAGTCGCACAGGCTAGTTCCTTAAAATAATCTCTTAATACACACACACACACACACACACACACACACATCATTGACTTGCCAGCCCCCACAGTTGCACAGGCTAGTTCCTTAAAATAATCTCTTAATCTCTTAATACGCACACACACACACACACACACACATCGTTGACTTGCCAGCCCCCACAGTCGCACAGGCTAGTTCCTTAAAATAATCTCTTAATACACACACACGTGTCCTGCTGGTCACGTGGAAACGAGGAATTGAGTTTTAAATCCCAGGGCTGTGGCTGCCCCGGAGGCAAATCCCCATAAGTTCCGTCTCATGATGGCTCTCCGTGTCTTCGAGCTCTTCGTTCTGTGATTCACTCGATGGTTCCCGGCCTGTGGCCTTGCACGGCCCCCGGGTGAGCCCTGAGCTCATGAAAGTGACTTGTGTCTTTCCTGAAGCCGAGGCTGTCGTCCTTCAGATCCTGCGTCTCGTGTACTTGGCATGGAGCTCCCGTCGAGCTCACTCATTCTGCGGTGTAGACAGACGGGTGGATCCGTCCTTCGATTCGAGACGGTGTGATGAGCACCCTGCCGAAGACCGCGTGCTGTCTGTTCTGATCATACTGTCATTGAAGCAGCTGCTTCTGGGCTGGGGGCCCGGCCGGCGACAAAGTCAGTCTGACGTTGTAGGGACGTCTGGTCTGGTTTTGCACGTTCTCTGGGAAACTGAGTAAATGCACCCAGTGGGCACCTCTGTTCCTGATTCCCTCTGGGCACTTTTCTGAATCTGTTTCTTTGTTGAGCGACTCAAAACCCAAACTGCTCGCTAGTGGCTCGTGTCATTGAAATCCACGCGGATTTTAGAGCAGGCCCCGGACAGTTTCATTTCTCCATGACCTCACGCTCTGTGCTGACATCGTGAGCCTGGTCCCAGGATCTCTCCCATTGTGCTTTCATGCTGCAAGTGATGGGAGCAGACATTGGGAAATTGCAAAGTTAGCATAAGACGGCAGTAAATGCATGTTCATACAGACACACAGAGGGGCCACGTGACCACGGAGGCAGCGCTGAGGGGACCCAGACACAGCCCCGAGGATTCCTGGAGCCCCCAGCAGCTGGGGGAGCAGGAAGGTCCTTCCCCCAGCGCCTCTGGAGCGAGCTCACCACTGCCCACACCTGGGTTTCAGACTTCTGACCTCCAGGTGGGGGGAGAGTCAGTTCCTGTTGCTGTGAGCCACCTGCCCCGGGACCCTCAGGCAGCCCCTTCCAAACCTTTGCAATGGGGATAATTACA